TTTAATAAAATCAATTCCCATATCCGATATATTTTCTACTGGAAAGTGCTCTGCTTCAAAAATATGTATCCAGCTTTTCCCATTATTTTTCAGTAATCTTCGTATCCAAGTGGACTTCAAACTAGATATGAAATTATTGATGTTAATCATTTTAAGGCCTCCACTTTCATACTTTTTGATTATAGTATTTCGTTTAATTTTGTCAACAGGAGATTGCCAAATGAAGTTAAAAAATATTGTGTTCAGCTGCTGAATAAAAGTGCTGGTTGGTGTAGGAATTGCAATGAACAGATGATTAAGTTTTGGTATAATTATTGATTTCAATACTACAATACGACCAATAGGGGTTAAAATCCTACGTGACCATTGGGTTATACTGTTATTTACATTTTTTAGGGCTTTCACATAATTCAAACTTATAATATCTTCTAAGATAACTGAACAAGAGGCCCAGAGTGCCTGTATCGCTCACCTGAATATGTTTAAAATAATTGGTATGAAGTAGGTGCTGTAAGTACATATGAAATTTCAGAAATATCCATACAGTACTTGAGATTTAGTGAGAACAAACTTCAAACAGAGCCCCACCCCTAGGGGGGTCATACCCACCAATTATACAAAATTGAGTCCCCTTGACCCAAGGATGCTCCAGACTAAATGAGGATAAAATCCCATAATCCCGATGGTCGAAGAAGGATTTTAAAGGTTTTACCTCTATTTCTCCTTTTGGGCCCCGCCCATCTGCCCCTTGGGAGACCACACCCACTGCATATACAAAATTGAGTCACCTTGGCCATTGATGCTCCAGACTAAATTAGGATAAAATCCCTTAATCTTTATGGTAGAAGAAGGATTTTAATGGTTTTCCCTCTATTTCCCCTATTGGGCCCTGCCCCTCAGGTCCCACGGGGGGGGGGGAGGTCTCCTTTACCAAAGGATGCAGTGCCACACCAAATATGGAACAAATCTGTTCATTCCTACAGAAGAAGAAGGATTTTAAAGAATTTGCTATGTTTCCCCTATTGGGCCCCACCCCCAAGGCCCCTGGGGTACCACACCAACGATTTATACAAAATTGGTTCCCCTTCACCCAAGGATGCTTCTGACCAAATATAGAACAACTCCTTTCATTCCTACAGGAGAAGAAGGATTTTAAAGAATAATTTGCTATGTTTCCCCTATTTGGCCCCGCCCCTCAGGCCCCTGGGGGGCCACACCCATGGTTTATACAAAAAATTGGTTCCCCTTGTCCCAAGGATGCTTCAGACCAAATATGGAACAAATCCTTTCATCTTACAGAAGAAGGATTTTAAAGAATTTGTTATATTTCCCCTGTTTGACCACGCCCCTCAGCCCCCAGGGGGGCCAGACCTACGGTTTATACAAAATTGGTTCCCCTTCCCCCAAGGATGCTTCTGACCAAATATGGACCAAATCCTTTCATTCCTACAGAAGAAGAAGAATTTTAAAGAATTTGCTATAATTCCACTATTGGGCCCCGCCCCTCACTCCCAGGGGAGCCAGACCCACGGTTTATACAAAATTTGTTCCCCTTCCCCCAAGGATGCTTCCGACCAAATATGGACCAAATCCTTTCATTCCTACAGAAGAAGGATTTTAAAGAATTTGCTATATTTCCCCTATTGGGCCCCGCCCCTCAGCCCCCAGGGGGGCCAGACCCATCATTTATACAAAATTGATTCCCCTTGGCCTAAGGATGCTCCAGACCAAATTTCGGGCAGGTGAGCTCAAAATGAATACCTAGCAAATCAAATTTTGTTTCCCCCCATTTTAATTTCAATCTATGATGGTAGACATCTGCGCTGAATTTCTTGCTGCCAATCCAAATAACTTTTGTTTTATCATTATTAAGTTTTAGACCTGACATTTTACCAAAACAATCTAAAGTATTTAAAGCTTCATTGAATGAGTTTCTAGATCATCTAAAATTATTGAGGTATCATCTGCAAACTGTGAGAGTTTATAATCCTTATGTTTTATTTGTATACCTTTGATATTTTTATTGTTTTTGACCAAAATTGCTAATATTTCAGCTACTAGTAAGAACAGATACGGGGAGGGAGACTGGATCAACTTGTGGACATTCTTTTTGTATCTCCAAAAAATCAGACAGTATACAATTTTGTGTTATTGCAGAAAAAGTATTTTTATATAAAGTTTTGATCCATTTCTTAATGCTTTCACCAAAATTAAAAAAATCAATTACCTTGTATAAAAAATTCCATGAAACAGAATCAAAAGCTTTTTCAAAATCAATGAATATTAGAAGTCCAGGTATATTGTTTAATTCAGTATAATTCATAATATCATAGATTAGTCTAGTGTTTTCACCAATATATTTACCACTTAAAAAACCTGTTTGTGTCTCGGAAATAATATGGTCTAGAACTGATTTAAGTCTGTTGGCTATACAAGCTGATGTTAGTTTATATATAACATTTAGCAAAGTAATTGGTCTCCAGTTTTTCATAAAATGTCTAAGCTTATCACCTTTTGGAATACAAGTTATAATTCCCTGTCTTTGTGTAATTGATAATTCACCGTTATTATACCCAAGATTCAAAGATCTAACAAAAAAATAATTCAAATTCACCCAAAAGAATTTAAAAAACTCACTTGTATAGCCATCAGAACCAGGTGATTTAAAGTTTTTCATGTTTTTTAAAGCAAAAAGTAGTTCTGTTTCTGTTAATTCTCCTTCAAGGTTTGAACGTTGATCATCAGTTAATTTAACATACTCTAGACCATTTAACAAATTATTTAGATTAACATTTTCTATGTTATTAGATTGGTCACGATCAGCATATACCGTAGAATGTTTGTAAAAATTCGTTGTTTCTGCAAGAATATCAGCTTGACTTGTTAAAACTTCACCATTATCTTTTTCAATTTTAACTATAGTTTTGTTCACATAATTATAAGTTTCTAAATTACAAAAATATTTTGATGGTTTTTCGCCCTCATCTAGCCAAGTAACCTTTGAATGAATCATGTGTCCTTTCATTTTATTTATTCTAATATTTTCTAACTCTACCTTCTTTTGTTCATATGCCTCCAAATTTGATGCCCATGTATTGTTACCTTCAAGTTGTTCTAAATCATATAGCAATTCTTTTTCTCTTTTATCCCTTTCCTTTTTTCTAAATGATGAATATGATATGGTAATTCCTCTTATCTCCATTAACAATGTTTCTGAAAATAATTGATCATCAATACATAGTACAAGTTCTGAATTTGTTACATTTGAAATGTCATTATTATAAATAGGTGAACAGTATTGTTGTTTTACCTTAACTATTGTTTCTTTAACTTTTTGTACATATTCTTGGTCACATAAAAGACTATTATTAAATTTCCATAGGTCCCTTCCTTTTACAAAATTACTTATTTTTATTTCTAATGAGATAATTGAATGGTCTGATGTGAAACTTTCATTGAATTCTGCTGGCTAATTGTGAAAGGGTAGAGCCACCTTAAGGAGCTTAAGGGGCTGACACTCACACCCCCGAGGAGGGGCTCAAAGGGAGGAGGATAGTAAGTGCTGTACCTTAAACAAGTACATTTTAGATTTATTCTCAAATACTGTCTGTCCGAGTTTGATGAACTGGTGGTCACAGAGTGCAAAATGTTCAAAAACATATTTATGAAACTAATGGGTAGATTTTAAATAATGTTCAAATTGAGCTATTATTTCTTTCATTTTCATAATTAATTAATGTTAATTTGTTCCAATCAGTTTAAAACAGCTGAAATTCTTTGTTTGTGATCCATAAATTTAATCAATTGCATGTCATGTCATCACTTCCCGAACTCAAGGTAAAATCGCTGCTCCATGTTTTGATCGGATATACAATTTCAGCCAAATATCATAAATTAAAGGTTTCAAACCTCTTTAAAGGGACAATTAATTTAGTAAAGCAAGTTTTTTTTTCAGTTTACTTTTAATTCTTGACTGCAATGTATCGTGTAAATTCAAAGCAACAAGATGACGTGTTATGTGTGAAAAAAGACTCCTAACGTCGGTCAACAGCGTGGTGGCCCAGATATTGCACTATTTCGGTCGTAGCTATTTTTATCACCGGCTTTCCCAAAAGATGAAACTGACCACACTGGATGTTAACTTCAGATCATGTCAATATCAACAACGTTAGGTTTCGTTAGGAGATATGTATTTCAGTATCCGCTTGATACTTAGGTTGTCATCTGACTAAATAGCCCCTTTAATGCCAAACTGAAACATTTACAAACAAATGTTTTATTCATTTAAATTTTGTTTTACCTCGATATTACGCTACTTTGTTTATGTTGCCAACCCCTTCATACTCTCGATTGCTTGTGTCCAGTATTCTTCTTTAAAATCTAGAATACTAGCGACCTCTGCTGAGTGCTGTAAATTTGAGCTGAATATGCTTCAATGGTGTTTGTTTTATCAAGTTTAAGGAAACGTAGTTCATTTGTTGATGACAAGTAGCACCAATAGTCACAGTGAAACCAACATCATATATCCTATTGTGCTGATACACGCATATTTTTAAATCTATTGAATCATTTTCACTTTGTTGTTTATATACTGATACTAGTGCATTTTTCATTTAAGTGAAATATTTGTGTGTCCTATGAAAATACACATGAATTCAATTGTCTGTGTGTTTTAGTTTTATAAAAGATTATAACCTGATGAATCACAAGTTTTGCATTGTCAACCTCACTGAGGTGACTGTTCTCACTGAGGTGGTGACCGTTCTCACTGAGGTGACCGTTAAGGTCCTGGATCTCTTGTTGACTTTTTTAACAGCACCAAGAAAACGGCGCCAATAAATAGGTGTGAGAAAGAACTCTCTATAGAATGAACTCCATGATGTTCCATTAGAATGCAAGCATGCAGGTTTGAAATAATACATTTATTACATTTAATTATTCATAAAATTCTATAACATTAGACTTGGTGATGTACAGATCAGTCAGAAAGCTTTACTTACGACGATGATGAAGAAGCCCATTACCATCCACTAGAATAGCCTGAAACAAAGGATCAAGCAAGTCAGTAATTTAAATAATGGACGTTAAAATGTAATTACGTTCTTCAATTTTAGGATAAATGCTGTGTTATCATTTTGTTATGCATTTATTTTCCAAAGATTTCCACTTCTTAAAAACCTGTAAAATAACTTTCCTAAATAGTAGTAACTAGTAAATTTATACTTGACTATCAGTTGATACACAGGATAAATTACATTGAAAACACTCAGGCAATTCTGATTTAATTGATTAAGGGAAGTAACTATCAACAGGTAACACAACCTGTAGGGTATGTGTCAATGACTAATTTAATGTAGTATATATTTTATTACTGCAAATATTCATCAGATTCATTGTAACTCAGATCAACACAGCTCTGATGTGTACGTGTTGTTTGTTCCTAGAATCTTTCCCTTCCTTGAGTGAATGACAAAAAAATCTCAACCTGAAAGTATTAAAGGAACTTGAATGTCAAACTAAACCTGAACATTGCGACGTGTTTGACCATCAGGAATCCTATCCCGAGGGTTGCCATTTCCCTATCATAACCTCTTGGTAGGGAATGAATGTATTTTTACCAACTCCAAAAAACATATTTTGATAAAAAAAAGAATGCATACTACACTGAATGCCTATTTTCAATATGACTTCTTTTGGTTACAAAAAGTTATGTCTAGACTGACATCACAAGCCTGTGTAGCTTTCTACATTTTTGAGAAATCACTCTTCCAAAAAAAAGGAGAAAAATATGTGAAGGATCATCCTCGATATCCAGGGGTTACGCTCACTTTCGCTCTCTACACCCCTGGAATATGTCATGGCAAAAATAAAGGCTCAGTGTGTGCCACCTTGTTGAAGAGACAAGAAGACTAGTTTGATGTACATCAAAATAATCTCGCGGTCACGTAATGGTAAAAATTGACAGGCTTTGAAGTTGGGCGTCTCTCCTTTGTAATCTTCAAAGGAGAGGTATCAGCCTAGCAATTGGTCAGGTTTTTTTACCTTTTTTGAATCAAACAGCTATCTTCGTGCCTTCAATTTTGCCACGACATATTCCAGGGGTGCAGAGAGCGTAAGTAAGCGTAACTCCTGGATATCGAGGATGGTGAAGGATCAGAGCAGTCCACTTCACAAACATGTTTATTCAGGTTTGCATTTGATGAAAGGGTCAATGTTTTAGGTCACATATAAAGGTTTCATGTAATATAAACCAAGTCTAACTTACATCTGGTGTATATTTTGGATCATTCTGCTGGACTTTTCGGTACAAAGACACAATAAAATCCACCTCCCTAAAGGCAAGAAACCCAGACACATAAGGAGCTGTCAATTTGATCATATCATAATCTTCATAAACAACCTGAAAAAGGTATAAAAAAAAAAGAAATTGTGCTAGAAATAGTACAAAGCAAAGGACAAAATCTTATTTCATGTAGAAACATTCTTAAATCGTTTTCCATTTTTAAAAGCAGTATGTGACAACTTGAAGGTACAGGTATATTATTCCTTCAACTGTTCGTAGATACATTTCTATAATTCACAAGGACACAATTGATTTAGAAGGCATAGGCATATACAATCATCTGAATAAATATGTTTACTCAGGATCAAGTGAAAGATGTTCAGAATTTGTACATATGTTTTCAGACCTACTCTTCACCCACCTCTAGACTGGGAAAGCTGACCACTACTAAAGCAGCGCAGGCATTGACATCATCCCCCTTTACAAATGAGATGTCCACACCTCCAAGGTAAAATTGTCGTGTGCCCTCCTGGCCCTGTTGTATGGCTTGTCTCATCTCCTTCACAACATCTGCATCTAAGTCAATTACATTTGTCTTCAGCCTTCGCTGTTCACTGAAATATAACGTGCTTATATATTATTTGTAAAGATAAATTTTAATTAACATAAAACAGACATTTAAGCCAGATACATATTTAGTGTCTAACAGGAGCTGAAAAATGCACGTTCAGACTGGGGTTCGAAACCCGGGACCTTCCGAACTCTAAATGGACGCTCTACCAATTGAGCTATCTGGTTTCAAACGATCAATCCAGTTCAGTTCCGCTATAAGTGTTCAAAATGTGTAGTACTGTTTAACAGAGAGTATGCATACATGCCATAACCTTCCTATGCAAAATAGTGAGATCAGTTGAAATACAAAAATACTTTATCAAAAATTGTGATTTTCTCTCTCTCTGAAATAGTGAGACATTTGCATATAACAAGCAATAAATTAGAATTGTGAAGCCTTAGATAATAAATGACCATTAAATGTATATACTATATGCAGTGGAACTGGACTGGGTCAATCGTCAGAGACTGTGCATTTTTCCTCTACTGTTACATATGTAATAGGAGAAAGAGAAAGACACGACCGGACCGGGGTTCGAACATGGGACACTCTATAGATGGATGCTCTACCAATCGAGCTACCTGGTCACAGACGATCAACCCAGTCCAGTTCTGCTACTTTTCTTCCTGCATCTTCTAAGTCTTTAAACCTGGTGACAACACTATTTACAACCCACATTCTGGCATCCTGTTGCCAGGCCTACACCCAATGCTAATGAAACAAGGGTTGGCAAGCTTGTCAATTTTGTAACAAGAGAAAGACACGACCGGACCAGGGTTGGAACCAGGGACCCTCTGAACTCTAGATGGATGCTCTATCAATTGAGCTACCTGGTCGCCAACAATCCACCCAGTTACGCTACATACATGCAAAAGTGTTTGAAATTCTGACTGTAAATTGAGATAAAAATCAATAAAAAATAAGGGTATTACTATAAACAAGAGGCCCAAGGGCCTTAGCGGTCACCTGAGTTATATCATAGGTACTGGTAGCTTTATTTTATTGTTTAGATGTGATGTGGAAATCAGCATGTAAACTAAGTGAAATACAATACTTGTCATGTCATCAAAGGATAAGAATTTTAAGATATTTGTAAATGTTTCCTTTGGGTCCCCGCTCTAACCCCTGGGGGATGGGGCAGGAATTCAAAGTTTACCATGTGATACCGTCATCCACCAAAGATGATTCTGACCAAGTAAAAATAATTTCCAACAGAAAATTGTCAAAATATACCCAAAAGTGTTGTTTCCATATATAAACTATAGTAAACTTTACCCCCTCCCCAAGGGAGAACGGATAGCTCGGGGGTCCTGAAATTTACAATTTAAATAAAGCCCCTGATGATCTTTCCATCCATGCAGAGATAATGACTGTAATACCTCTGAGTCTGGAGAAGAAGATTTTTGAAATATTGGTTAATTTTCCCTTTGGGGCCCAGCCTTGGCCCCTAGGGTTGGGGTAGGAATCCCAATTTTACAATTTAAAACCATCTTCCTCCTCCAAGGATAATTCTCACCAAGTAAAAATAATTGCTAACAGAAAAATGTCAAAATATACCCAAAAGTGTTGTTTCCCACTATAAACTATAGTAAACTTTACCCCCTCCCCAAGGGAGAACGGATAGCTCTGAGGTCCTGAAATTTACAATTTAAATAAAGCCCCTGATGATCTTTCCATCCATGCAGAGAAAATGTCTGTAATACCTCTGAGTCTGGAGAGGAAGATTTTTGAAATATTGGCTAATTTTCCCTTTGGGGCCCTGCCATGGCCCCTAGGGTTGGGGAAGGAATCCCAATTTTACAATTTAAAACCATCTTCCTCCTCCAAGAATAATTCTCACCAAGTAAAAATAATTTCCAACAGAAAATTGTCAAAATATACCCAAAAGTGTTGTTTCCATATATAAACTATAGTAAACTTTACCCCCTCCCCAAGGGAGAACGGATAGCTCGGGGGTCCTGAAATTTACAATTTAAATAAAGCCCCTGATGATCTTTCCATCCATGCAGAGAAAATGACTGTAATACCTCTGAGTCTGGAGAAGAAGATTTTTGAAATATTGGTTAATTTTCCCTTTTGGGCCCCGCCCTGGCCCCTAGGGTTGGGGTAGGAATCCCAATTTTACAATTTGGTAGCCTCATCTACCAAGGATGATTCTGACCAAGTTTGAAAAAATTCCATCCACTGGTTCTTGAGAAGAGGTTGATAATGTAAAAAGTTTACGCATGACGCACGACGGACGACGATGGACGGAAAGTGATTGGAATTGGTCACTTGAGCAAAGCTCAGGTGACCTGAAAAAGGTATAGTAATACATTTTTTTTTTATATGATGTTTATCTCAATTTACAGGCAGAGTTTTAAACACCTTTGATACATGTACAGGTCGAGGGAAACCACTAACATGCGTATAATACACAAACTTGCGTATAATATGCAAACTCGCCTATTATACACCAATAGGGGTATGGATTTGTTACTGAAAATAGCCAAAATAACTTAAATCTTAACTTTTTTAAATTGTTTGTCCAAGTCGCATTTATTCAGTCATGAAACATAATACAAATGCAAAAATAAACTTTAGTTGCATGTGGGAAAGAACCATAAATAGATGCAATACTTCCAGTAAAATTAAATAAAGTTTCTAAGTAGCCAACGCTTTCAGTAAACAACTTTTAACAAAATATTATTTACCTTGTCGTAAATTAATGCGATTTTTAATAATATCGTGCAAAAGTTACTGTTAAAGCGATTTGGGTTATTTTTAGTAACAAATCCATACTCCAACTTGCGTATAATAGGCGAGCTTGCGTATTATACGCAAGTTGGTGGTTTTCCCCAACCTGGGCACAACGGCGCATATGGGTAATAATCCCGCATTTGGGTAACATCTTTGCATGTTATGGTTGAATGCACTTCGAATCTACTTTCACTATCCTATATAAACAAGAGGCCCAATGGGCCTGCATAGCTCACCTGGTATTAATCTCACAATTGTAATCTTAAAAGAGGACTAAAATAAAGCTACAGGCAAAATATCAGCGTCTTGACTTTTAGTTGAAAGTAATTCAGAAAAAATGGGCAAAGGTCATTCATTTGAACAAACTTGGTAGCCCTTCGTCCCAGCCTCTCGGTTATTCAGAAGAAGTTGTTTAAAGGTTTTAAAGATATTTCACCCCAGTGACCTTGAATATAAATCAAGGTCTTTATTTGAACAAACTTGGTAGACCTTCATCCAAGCATGTTACTGGCCAAATATCATCACCCTAGGCATCTCAGTTATTCAGGAGAAGTTGTTTAAAGGTTTTAAACATATTTGACCCCAGTGACCTTGAATATAAATCAAGGTCATTTATTTGAAAAAACTTGGTAGCCCTTCTTCCCAGCATGTTACTGGCCAAATAGTATCACCCTATGCCTCTCAGTTATTCAGAAGAAGTTGTTTAAAGGTTTTAAAGATATTTCACCCCAGTGACCTTGAATATAAATCAAGGTCTTTATTTGAACAAACTTGGTAGCCCTTCATCCAAGCATGTTACTGACCAAATATCATCACCCTAGGCCTCTCAGTTATTTAGAGGAAGTCGTTTAAAGGTTTTAAACATATTTGACCCCAGTGACCTTGAATATAAATCAAGGGCATTTATTTGAACAAACTTGGTAGCCCGTCATCACAGCATGTAACTGGCCAAATATCACCACCCTATGCCTCTCAGTTATTCAGAAGAAGTCGTTTAAAGGTTTTAAACATATTTGACTCCAGTGATCTTAAATATAAACCAAGGTCATTTATTTGAACAAACTTGGTAGCCCGTCATCCCAGCATGTAACTGGCCAAATATCACCACCCTATGCCTCTCAGTTATTCAGAAGAAGTCGTTTAAAGGTTTTAAACATATTTGACTCCAGTGATCTTAAATATAAACCAAGGTCATTTATTTGAACAAACTTGGTAGCCCGTCATCCCAGCATGTTATTGGTCAAATATCATCACCCTAGGCCTCTCAGTTATTTAGAAGAAGTCGTCTAAAGGTTTTAAACATATTTGACCCCCGTGACCTTGAATATAAATCAAGGGCATTTATTTGAACAAACTTTGTAGCCCGTCATCCCAGCATGTAACTGGCCAAATATCATCACCCTAGGCCTATCAGTTATTTAGAAGAAGTCGTCTAAAGGTTTTAAACATATTTGACCCCCGTGACCTTGAATATAAATCAAGGTCATTTATTTGAACAAACTTGGTAGCCCTTCATCCCAGCATGCTTCTGGCCAAAGATCATTACCCTAGCACTTTTGGTTACTGAGAAGAAGTTGTTAAACCTAAAAATTGACGACGGACGGACGCCGGACGCCGCACCACGGCATAACCTCACCTGGCCCTTCGAGGCCAGGTGAGCTAAAAATCAAAATTTTGTACTTCACTATCTTTATTAAAAATCGCTAATTTTATGGTTATTATAAACACGTTTTGGTTGATCGTTTTTTCGTGTTTTGACATTTTCGTGATTTTAGATGTCCCGACTTTTCTAAGGCTTCAAAGGTCGTAAAATACTTTCAAAACCAAAATCTGTTCAACCAAAAGTTGTTTGTAATAACCAATAGATATGGCGATTTTCAATAACGTAAGTGAAATACAAAATTTTGATATTTTATATAGGATAGTGAAAGTAGATTTGAAGTGCATTCAACCATAACATACAAAGATATTACCCAAATGCGGGATTATTACCCATATGCGCCGTTGTGCCCAACCTGCTGATGTATATATATGAAGCAAAAGTTTAACAATAAAATGACATCACATTTTAAATATACATTGGATCATTGGTCTCATTCAACAATCATGTTCATGCTGTTTACTGATTACTCTGCAATCGCAAGCATATATACTTCTCCCATTTCGCTTTGATCTCATCTGATATCAGTTTTGTGTGCTCGTCACTTCTCTCGGCCTCAAACCGCGAGTTGTCTCCGAGTTCGTTCCCCGACTCCCTTCTGTTATTATTCGATGCAGTGTCCCCAAATATGAAATAGTTTAAGCCGTCTAAAAAGCGTCGATACATGATTATAGACAACTGAATTTTACTGTACGTATACTACGTATAATATACTGTCCCTGACTACAGTAACTTAGTAATAAAAGCCACACGTCTTCTTGGCTCTCAGCGTTTCACTATTGTATAGGCGAGTACTATTTCAGCAGATATGCTACTTTTAAAGATGTGTCTGTATCAAATGCCACAGTACAGATATCGTTCATGACGAAACTGTTTTGCAATCTTCTTTATTTACAAATTTTCCCGGAAGTAGTTTTGCGGAAGTTCATCTTGGTACGCTTGGGCTACATTCGCGTATCCCGGTTGAAACGGTACGTTTGGCGCAGAAATTTTCCACGAAAAACGAACACACTTGGACCGTTCTATAAGCAGAGCTAAAAATCCACAGTTTCGGAGGATAAAAAACAATGTATCAAGAATAGTATGCCCTTCTCTCACGCGTCCACTAAATTACATAACGTATCTTAAAAATTACATATGACTTGACATTGTTTAAAAAAGAAATAACGCAAATTGGCAAAGGTCAGCATTTTAGTTTCGGTCAGGTACGTCTGGACACCTCAATCTACCCCAGAGAATCTACCCATACCAAATTTTCCTGAGGTCAGCCTCGGTCCAAATCTGTACCTGTCGTTTTCTTTACAGGTTCAACCGTTTCAACCGGATACGGGAATGTTCCGAAATGGAAAGAATCAAGAGTTTCCGAATGCGTTATGGTATTTGACATGAAGGAATGTTATAAACGAATGTTATAAACGGGAGCTGTACACGGTAAAGCATTAATTCGGAAGTCTTAGTTTCGTATTTCTTAACTGGAAATGAAGTATGTGAAAGTGAAAGTAGGAGTTTATAGCGGTATTAACATTATTTTAAAAGGTTTAGCATTATAAAGTAGATAGGGGTAAGTGGTAGAGAAAAGGATGTTCTATGCATTTCATAACTGAAGGAAAACGACCCTACTGCATGTATTACTTACAATTTAGTCATTAAAATGTTTTATCTAGATTTTCTTCACGGATTTCCTAGTCTAAATGTATTAAAAGTAATTTGATAAAATTGTATTATTACCCTTACAAATTCAAAGACAGGTTATGGACATTTATTAATTGTTTCAGACTATTTATAAACTTGTATTAGTTTCAGGCTGCTTATTACAGACATACATTTTGTGTAGGAACATATATTTTTTATTTACTGTTTCAGACTGGTCATACACCTGTATTTATTATCACAGACAGGCTATAGATCTTTAATTATATTGTTTCAGATAAAATTGTTTTAACTATCACAGACATTAAGGAACATACTTATGTATTTGTAATTCTATGTTTTATCAATAATTATTGTCATGTAAAGGAACATTAATTCATTGTTTCAAACTGGTTATAAACTTGTATTTACTTGTACTATCACAGACAAGAAGTAATATTTCATTAGTTAATACATATATACAGATAAGTGATATTTCATCATCAGGTGCATGTTCTTTAAAGTCTATGAGATAATTGATCACTAGATATATTTTGTAGAGATACAATTGTATTTTGTGACCTAAAAGGGCATTTCACACAAGCCAGATACATGGTCAGGCGCGTAGCTGCCTATACGCGAGTACGCAGCTGAATCCACATTATTTTGACAACAAAATTTTTTTTTAGTAAAAAAAATGTGGTTTGAAATTCAGTCGCGTTCGCCAGATCTGATTATTACCACACTGAATACTTTATAAATCATATAGCCTAAATCGTACACCATACCGTAGTATTTTTTGAAAAGTTGTCGGCCTTTGCAGCTCTTCAAAGTCGGAAGTTTGCACGCGCCGTATTTTCGAAATGTAAACAAATGTTTACATCGAGTTCTTAAAAAAGTCATCAGCAGAATCAGCGATAGAAAAGAGGTAATTATAACTAAAATGTTACTATGTATGCCTAGTGTTTATTTGTTTCGGTCTGTTTGTNCTCATCAATGAAATTTTAGTGATATACATGTATGTGGGATAGTAAGGCAATATATATGTTACATACCACTATTTGGTCCCTATGCCTGGAGGTCAAGGTCATATTTACGTCATAGGTCAAATTCTTTTTCAGGGCACTTCTGATTTGATGAAGATAACTCAATATAAGTTATATATGCAAGAATGTTAGGCGTTATATTATGTAGTACCACTATGGGGTCTGTATAGTCAAGGTCAAGGTCTCATTAAGTTCAAAGGTCAAATAATTCTTACCCTGTATACCTTCAAAGGCAAGTGATGTGTAGAAGGAAGACAAGCTTTGTTGCATACCTCTTTGGTTGTTCATTCACTTTACAGTTACGTACGTAAACTCAGAGATAATAATAGTGCCAGGCATGATAAATTTCAGGTAAAGATACGTGTATCATGCAACCTTTATTCCAGTCCGAAATGACTTTTGGGGAGCACAATCCATCAGTTTTAGTGATTTTCTTATTTCTTTATATGGTAAAATATTCAAGTATTGATGGAGGAATATTTACCATACAGTATACAGGAACAAAGGCTCAAGTGACCTAAACACTTTTCTTCCAAACTTATATTTTTTTTAATTCTTCTTAGGAAGCAGTGAATTCAAGCATTTCTTTCAAACTTACTAAGAATCATCATTGGTGGATGAGGTTATCAAATTGTAAATTTGGCATTCCTGCCCCATTCCCTGAGGTGACCAACGCTTCAGAAATCTTCTTCTCCAGATTCAGATGCACTAGAATCAACACTCTTTTGTGAATGAAAAGATGCTTAGGTGCTTTATCTAAATTGCAAATTTCAGGAAATAATTTAAACTTGGTTTGATTAGTAATGATGAGAGCAATATAAGGAAATAAGATCCTACCTTGCCCCTTGGCCGGAGAGACAGGTTTCAAAGGGGGAAAATTGACTAAAATTTCAAAACACCTCTTCCTCGGACTCGGATGTACCAGAATCAAAAGCACTTCATGAATGAAAAGGTCCTTTAAGTTGATTTATCTGAATTGTAAATTTATTTACTCCTGGTCATCAGTTCTCCCATTGGGAAGCTGAGGTAAAGTTTACTAGACTTTATACAGGAAAATTGCACTTATATTTTTGTATATTTTGTCAATTTTAAGCAGGAAATAATTCAAATTTAGTTGGAAAAATTATGATGAGATGGCAATTACCAGTAGTTGTTAGGAGAAAATAGGATCCTGCCTCCCTCCTGAAGCTGGAGGGGTGGGCCCAAAAATGGAAAAATTGGCTAAAACTTCAAAAGTCTTTTTCCTTGCACTAGGATGTACTAGAATCTTATTCTCCACATGGATGAAAAGGCCCCTATCTGCTTTATCTGAATTAATATTTTTATTCTATTTTAAGGTCACCTGAGCTTTGCTCAAGTGACCTATTCCAATCGCTTTTCGTCCGTCGTCGTGCGTCGTCCGTCGTGCGTAAACTTTTACATTTTCAACTTCTCCTCAAGAACCAGTGGATGGATTGTTTTCAAACTTGGTCAGAATCATCCTTGGTAGATGAGGCTTCAAAATTGTAAAATTGGGATTCCTACCCCCACCCCTGGGGCCAGGGCGGGGCCCCAAAGGGAAAATTATCCAATATTTCAAAAATCTTCTTCTCCAGACTCA